CCAAGATTTCCATACACGTAGAAGCTGCAGATGAACAGCGTCAGAGGATTGATTTAAATTAAATAGTCTTTCTTTTCCCTCAGTCAACTCCTCGTGAGTTTATTTACCTAATAGGTGTCAACTTAGCTGCCAGGGAACAACAGATTTGCCAACAGGATTCTCATAAATAATACAGACAGAAGACACTTTCACTGTGTTCACGTGCATGCAACCACCTAGCTACACATTGTAGGTTCACATGCACAGCAGAGCGCTGCTGTTACATGATGCTCATGTGTAAAACAAGAGGTGAAAGTCTGACCCTTTGACACCAGCTCACTCTCCTCTCTTTTGTCTCCATCAGGACCAGGAAACACGAGAGGAGGCAAACTGTCGGACCAGAGGCCACTGCCGCAGAGACGAGGTGACAAACAGGACTGATTCAGGAAGTATTTTTACAGCACTCTTTGATTTGCACCTATTAAGACATGAATGGATAATATCTCAGTATCTAAAAATGGAATTAGGTGTCTATGATATTAAATATATTTATATAGAAATTAATACTTCTGTTTTAAATGTATTCAGTTGCTTTATGAATAAAATGTCAACATTAAGTACGTATAGTGCAGTAATAATATATTAGCAAAGAATTTTAGACCCTGTGAGACAAAATCATCTCAATTCAAAGGTTCAATTACTTTTTCTGACTTTTTGGCTTCATCTCATTGCCTTGATTGTCGATGAGTCAGGAAACAGAAGTCGTCAGTGTTGTTCTGCTACATGACAGTTTATTTTAATTGTACACATATCACATATAATAACCCATTTATAGAGATATACTTTGCACTTCATCTGTAGTTTTCTCTCCTGTGTTTCCTGAAGGCCATTTGTGGCGTTGAGCTTCTGTTCCTCCCAGGTCGACCATCGACAGTGACACGGCTGCAGAAGATAAACTGTCCTTTGGGGTGAGGTAGTAGGTTGTATAGTTTTAGGGTCATTCCCAAGTTGTCAGATGACTATACAACTTACTGTCTTTCCTGAAGCGACTGTGCTGGCATCATGTTTGTCATTGTCACCAAAGAAAATACGACCTCGCTGCAAGTGTTTGTTTTTCCCCTTTTAACTGGACTCTTACTGACAGTAAATAGACTTTAGACATTAATATCTATATTTGATCAACATCCAATATATCCCTTGTTGATTTCCTTCATTAAGAAGGTAATGTCGAGAAGAAGCTGATAAATTAGAGAAAATCATCTTAAAATATTTTTTCCTTCCATTGACGATGATTAAGTTTTCCACTTCAATGCCCTGATGTTTATTGGTATCTTTTTCTAAAATCTATGCCTTTTTTAGGACCTTTTTAAAGATCCTTCTGGTTTTTTCTGTTACTAAAGTGTATATGTGCTTTATTTTTCCTTATTGAAATTGCAAATGTATTAACAACATCCTTCAATAGCTTATATGTGCTTACTGTTTTTTGTGTAGCCTGTTAAGCCTTAATGTTATCATCAAAAACTTGTTTTAATGGTATATCAAGTGACTTCTGTGCAACCCCTCCACTTCCCGACCTTCCTTTACTCACCTGGATGACTTATGGTGTTCGTACAGGGTGAGGTAGTAGGTTGTGTGGTTTCAGGGTTGTGATTTTACCCCATCAGGAGCTAACTATACAACCTACTGCCTTCCCTGGAGGGCAGCAATACATCACGTTACCTTTCTGCTATGGAACAAACATCTCATGAATCTCGTTTACAAAGCTCAACAAAGAACCCAAAGGTTTCATTAAATAGGTGAGTGGTGCGGAATCAAGATGTGCACTACAGGTTTGTTACTGATACAAAATGTGTGGAATATTTTTAATATTCTAAATGTTTAAAAAAAGATTCATCAATAAAGACTGGATAAGAAATAAAAACAACAATGACTGGGGTCTGATCTTTTCCTATTTAGAAGTACAGACTTACAACAGTAAACTCTTCAAGTATTTTCTTTCAAATGTTGCCCAACTCTGTCTTCCCTTTTAAAGGAGCTCACTATATGTTGAAACGATCTTAAAAGCCTCAGTGGCTCAGGAACATGTAATCGTGTATTCATGTGTGTGCATCATGTGTCTTTGTACTTTAAAACAGAGACAATTATTTGTGATTTTTTTCCTTGTAAGATGTTTCTAATGTCCCAGAGCAAAGCAAAAGAAAACTAGAAAACGATTTTAAAGTGAGAAATTCAAAGTAAACAAGAAAATAAAGGAGCCATGCTGTTTTATTGTCATACTCGGTGTAATTTTCAAACCACACTTCAGAGAGAAGACACTGTTTGATCCCTTCACCAAAGCTGGTAGCTGCTTGTTAACCGAGCTGCAGAAAACAGAATTGAGGAAACAGAGATGCAACATGAGATCAAGAGCAAAGAAATCTTTAATTACCACTTGTCTGCACACAAAAAACACTGAGCACTTTCAGAAGTACTTCATTCTGCTGTACTGTGGAAGTTAACTGTAAAAAATCATCTCTAGGAAAGTCCCTCATCTTAGACCAGAGACACACTGATAAATTGTGTCCATACACAGCAGATGGCGCCAGATAATACATGTTGAGTTGATGGGTGTTTTACTTGGACAGTTTTAGATCTATTTTACAGCAGCCTGCACAGAGAAGATCTGTGCTGGTCACCATCTGCAGAGAGGAGGGATACATTGGAACATTGAGGACTGAAAGACAGTTGAAATACAGTTTGCAGTAGTCAGAAAAATGATTTTGCTTTAGCTGAGGGATGTGTTTCTTCTAAATGTGGAACAATCAATCAAAGAAATCTTTCATTTTCAACTGTGGCTGGTGACGGAAGCTGCCACTTTAAGAACTGAAATGTGTTAGTAGTCTAACGGCTGGCTCAACGATGAACATACTAATGGACACAGCAGCAGGGTCGAAGTTTTCTGCATCAGTATTCACATATTTGAAAACATGAGACTGCAGGTCACCATCAGTCTTCTTCTTCTTGGTGCTCTGCAGGGCAACAAAGCCAGAGGTGAAACTATCTCAGAGGGGGTTTTAGTGTTGTGGGTGGAGGGATATTGAAATAAATGAATGAAAAGTGTTTACGAAAAACCCTGAAGGTGCTGCCGCATGAGGGTGGAGAGAAAAAAATCTCCTTGTGACTTCCATACTCACCTTGCTCGTCTGAGTACACTAGTGTATTCACACTAGTATTACCAGTATATACGGCTTTAAGTACCCGAACAGTGCACCTAAGAATCCTTCAAAACATTGAGTGTGAAATGCTGGACGCCATCTTGGCTATGCAGCAGAAGGGGAGGGATGACCAGTGCCTTTTCTAACTCATGAAAATGGCAGCCGAGGAAGGAGGACACATTGTCTGTGCCAATGGCGGTGTCATCTCCGTGTTGCGTGAAACGGCACAATTTTTTTTTTTTTTGCTTAAATGACTAGAGCAGCAGTTTGATATCTTGATGGGTGAGAATTGCGGTCACATGTTGGAGTCATCACTTCTGCACAACAACCGCGTTTGGTTTAGGACACTACCCTGTTGATATTCACATGCTACACCAGTGAGTTGTCTATGCTTTGCACAAAGTCATGTAAGTGTTCTTACTGTGGCTTCAAATAAAGATACGGAGAAAGCCCATGAAAACTTGTGTCAGTGTTGTGGCCTTAGGTAGGATAGTATTTACTGTAGGTAGTTTATGTCATGCAGAGCTTTAAATGTCAACAGGTTTATCATTGCCACCAAATAATGGCTTATTCCTTTAATAATAGCTCAAGACAACAGAAGAGACAACACTTGCCTTTGCTTTGAGGGTTTGACTAATGCGTGCCGCACACCACGGTAAGAAGAGCATGGTATTAACCCAGCCATCCCATCAGCCCAAGGTTATCACTTCCCCCCATTAGTCAAGAGTCATTTTGATGTGGGTGTTTTATCCACACTTTGCAGGTTCTTTGTGCACCACATGTCGGGCCCGGTGGGACTGGCATCTTGTTTGACAGAAACTAATTTCGACCAGTAAATTACAAAACTTGTATAAACATCAACTAAGAATTAGTGATTGAAATAATGTTTAGCTTCAGCTTTAACGATACAGAATCTACCAGTAAAAGCTGGCTTCTATCTCATCACACCTTGGTTTCTATGACAACCTTTTTAAATGCCTAAATGGTAAAACTAGTCACAAACAGCACAGAACTCTGAAGCCAAGATCTTAACCAGAGTAAACAGATTTCAACTTATCACCCCAGTTTAGCCTCTTAATTACTCACAGGGCATTACAGGCTCTGACTCCTCAGTATATCTCAGATGTTTTTTGCCCTTTTGACCCTGCTTGCACTCTGAGGGGCCCCCTATCTGTTCCAGGCTCAGACTGAGGGGGACGGAGCTTCTTTGAGTAACAACAGCGAGGCAGTGGAAGACCGCAAGTGGAGTCAAGTGTTTTTTTTACAGAATAAAATTGTTTCAGTTTTATGCACGTACTTAAAGTTGGTACTTTTGTGTCTGTTGGTGTATAAAGAATAAAAAGTCAAAATGGCTGAATGAACCTTCAGAAAAATATGTCCTGTGAGTGCAATATTATTATATAATGTTAGATTATGTACTACTCTACTATTGTTTCTATGTATGCACTTTGTTTATAATTAGGATACTAAAATAATCATTTGAAGACTGATGTGTTTTTGTTTCTTGGCAGGGTGGGGTGGGGGGGCTGTTTGGTTGCCCAGCCCCCCCCCCCCCCCCCAAATCCCTTGGAACGCCCCTGGTTACGCCTATTGTTTGGCAATATTGTTTATTTCAGCATTTTCATAATGTTCCCATAGTAAGTGACGGAGGTGACAGTGGCTCCATTGAGAACATTTCAGGAAAAAAAATCTGCTGAATTATTAATAAACATCTGTGAGATTACGTCACGAATCCACTGACCAACCCGTGACGTGTCCTGACTGAGGCGAGCGGCGTTCAAATCCCCGCGTTGTCATTGGTCAGAACCATAGGTGTGTCAGGAGGTGTGTGCGTCATGACGCAAGCAGTCGCTACGTTATTTCCTGCTGAGGATAAACGCTGGTTTGACACCGCGGAGGAGGGAGGCGAGGAATCAAGGTTGTAGCGCAGACGATCCGGACTGTGTGTGTCTGTCTGTGTCTGTGTGTCTGTGTGTGTTACTGTGTGTTACTGTGTGTGTCTCAGGAGCAACACACACATCCAGCTCTTCTTCGCTTCTGGAAATGCTTCGGATTCGTGTCTCTGAGGTAACTCGTAACTTTTGTCACTAAACTCTGCAGTTATGTAACTGTGATTATAAAGTTCAGGAGCATTTCCACATGGCCGCATGTTGTTTTAAGGAATTTCAGTAACTTTGAATGTGATCACCACTGACATGCATGACTCAAGTGAGCTTTCAAGTTCACACAACACAGTGTCACATGTGCTGATCTCTGCAGCCAGTTGAATATCTGGCTGTTTCTCAGTCAGACCCCACTTTGAGTTTCCTGACTTGTGGTTTTGTAAAACCTCACACACCCACACTGTGTCGAGAAAGGCGTCACTGTGATCCAAGCAACATTTTTCTGCTCCACTCTGAGTCTGCAGCATGTTTGCATCTCTGTGCAGCAGCAGCAGCAGCAGCAGCAGAAGAGGACCTAATGTCAGACCACTTGTTTTGATCTGTGTGGACGCTGGGTTAGTTCCTCTCATGGATGATATTGTTGCAGGGAGGTGAAAAGTTCTTGGAGGGGTCACAGCAGCTGATCCTGATTCAGCAAAGGACAAATGGGCGACAGATCAATTCTCTATTCTTAACCACCGACTCTGCCTCCTTGAAGTCCTTGAAGACACCTGCTCAGGTATCCATCTGACTTGACAAGAGCTCTACATTGTTTTGTACCGATGGCGTCGTCCTCCTCGCTGTCGCCTGTAAACATTGTGAGCAGCTGACGTCTCTCCAGTGTTTCCTCTTCTCCTTCAAAACCTAAAGATAGAGCCCTCTGTCTGGGATTATAGTTCCTCTGGGATTTCAAACACAATGTCCTTTGAGGTGAGATGGAAACATGGGCTGGGCCTGGGGGTCATCTGTGGAAGAGGAAGAGCCCTGTTGAAAAACATCAACAAAGACCCAACAAGCTAAATAACATGCATGAGAGAGGCTCAGGCTTTATCCAGTCTTGGCTGATTATTGATTAATCTTTAAATTCTTTTATTTATTTGATTAATCTCTTGCTTTTTGATTTAAAACTGTAACTATAACTTAAAATGCCAAAAAGCAGGGATTTGTAACTTTTTAGACATCTAAAATTTTCTTTTTAAATATATATTCTTCTTGAGAAATGATGTAAAATGTAGTTGCAAATTCAATTCTCTGTCCAAAAAAACCCAATGAACGTGCCAGGGCCAGGGTGCACTTCAGGACACAACACATTCCTCATCTATACGGTGGAAGCTGGATCCGGATCGTACATATTTTGGATAGACTTCAGCCCCAGTGGAAAATTCAGTACATGTAGATAAATGATGCCATATGAGGTTTACAGTGCTGCCTTCTCGAAATATCCTGTAGATGAAATGCTGGTTGCTGTGTGTGTGCAGGGAGCCAGAGATTTACTCAATCTACTCTTTGATGTGGAAATGTGTGCAGGCTCCTGGGGCATCAGTTCGTCACAGGGCAGATGTTCGTGTGATAGCAGCAGCAGTCGCTCAGTCTAGCATGTGATTTCACCTTAAAACACCCTCAGTAAAGAAGACGAGAGAGAAGACACGTATGGGTTGTGTATGGTTTCCTACAGCTGCAGGCGTACATGCATTTACACAGGCTCACGGATTTCCCCTTTACACAGCTCTGGCATGCGGTCAAGACCTGTCCTCTGAAAATCAAAGACTAAATAAACAAGCTGATCAATCGCGTCCTCGCTATCGCAGGGGTTGACGGAGTTCATGTCCCGGCTGATACAGATAACACTAAACTTAACTATCCTGCTCGACCATTATGCTCAAAACATCCACATCACGCCTGAAGGAGTCTAAGAAAGTTAAAGTTGCACAACCTCACGTTAGCTTCTCCCACGCTCGTGTGCAGCTGTGTAAACTGAGATTTTACACTGAGCTCCCCTGAGCCCTGAGATGGCCTCTCTGTGTGTTAGATCGGAGATATGCTTCTGATTCCTGCTCAGACGTTTAAATTACTTTCTTATGACACAGATAAAATTGTATTGCAGGAATATGAAAGCAAAAGTATAATGTTCTAGGTGGATTGGACGGAGAGAATTGAGAATCTTTTAGAAAAGCAGATCCCTGTTTCTTTTTGTTGGCTGACGCATCGTTACCTGTGCATAGAAGATTCACAGCCTGAGTGCATCTACAAGGGTAAATCTATGGAACGACAGGAGGAACATCTGTCACAGTGAATCACTGGAAGTTGTACACAGCATTTTAGAACATGAGCACTGGACGCGGTGCTGTGATGTTGTGTGATGGCTCAACAAACGTCCTGCTGGGAGCAGCTGGCGGCTCCTGCAAAATGTGTAGTTTGTTGTTGAGAATAAAGAAGCTCTGAGCTCTCCTTACACATGCATCTGTAGAAATATAGTATTAGATATTGCAGTAATGTACTAATAAGTTGCAGCTTTTGCCTCTGATGTCTTTCCTCTGTTGATTGTCAGAACATCAGAGTGGGAAATATGGCTAATATCCTCCAGGGTATATAGTTAAATGTCACAATATAAGGTTAGATATAGTGTTGGATACTCTCAGTTGGTAACAGTGTCAGTATGGCCCACAGTTATATAACCAGTGATATTATTGATATTGCTTCCAAGGTATATTATAGAAATAGAACCCCCCCGACAAACTGATACACAATTGGTTTAAGGTTAAATTTAATGAGAAGTCTAGCCTCCATATCTTTTTTTAATATCCCTGTTAAGCACCTTGAATCTACCTCTGTGAAAGAAACACGCTTCACAAATGAAACTGCCTTCCCATGTGTGGGGCGCTCATGCTACGAGGTCATTGGGTGCATAACAGGTTTGAGGCTTGCAGGTCCCCCGTTCTCTCTCCCTGTTTTCATGCTTGCACTGTCCTGTCCTGACGCAAAAAGGCACCGGAAAATATCTTAAAAGAATTAAAGTTTGACATTTCAGATGAACTGCCCTGGCGTTCATTTTCAAAAAGCGGTTTTCAGATGTGAAGAACGCAGGTTTAACACGCATGAAAGGAGAGAAACAGATGTATTTTACCACGAAGCCAAGTGACATGAACTCACTGACGTCTGGAAAAATTTAAGAGCAAATGTTGATTGGAAAGGGTTGAAGGGTTTCTGTTCAAATCAAGAACGACTAACCAAGATGTTTGCAGTCATTCAGAAAACTAGTCATGGTTGTTCTCAGAGGTGGATCTCAAGTCTCATTATTGTTTCCTCTCATTGCAGTCGGGTGAGTGAGGGGTTTTTCCTCCCAGGTTTGACTTGGCCTCCACCATGGCAGGGGACCTCTACAGCCCCCCATCCCCGCTGGGGGATTCCCTCCTGGACAGTCCTCTGTGTGGAGATCTGATGGAGGACCTCTGTGACATCTCCCAGTCGATGGGAGACAGCGCGCTGGGATTTGACATCCCAGAATACCAGAGCACCGGCTCAGGGTCCGAGAGCTCCACTGCACTGGGTGAGTCAAGAAGGAATTCTCAGAACCTTTAAAACTGTACTGAACAGGGTTTATTTTCAGGTTATGTTGATCGTTACAACATTGGCCTGCTGATCTTTTGGCTCCAGTGTGATATATATTTATATTCACTGACAACAGGAGATTAGACACAATTGGATTCATTTCTCTCTGTGTCTACACGTCTTCAGTAATCTGAGGGAGTCAATTTGAATTTTGCTTGTACCTTCATATTTATCGTACAGACATGAGACTGACAATGAGAGTTTCAAAGGATTTAGAGGGCCCCTGGCAAAAGGCACCTGGGGCCCTACATTGAAACCTCCTCTCCAAGAAACACACGATATCAAAGTAGTAGTAGTAGTAAAAGTTTAAGTGCAAAACCTCCCCCACCATCCCTGGCACATCACACACACGTTTAGAAGTTCCACATTTTAACCAGACCTCTAAAATTACTAAGCTTTTGGCATAAAGTTAGCAGCATGGGACCTTGTTAGGAGGTTTCCGACTGTGGCGTTGTTGAAGTTTTCCTGTATGTGACCAATCATAGAATTTAACGTTGCTTACAAAATTGTCATTGCTGTGGACTAACGTGCCTGCACTGTTGCAACACACCAGGATCCTGAAAATTGGAATTTCCCCATCTGGTGAATATGTGCCTTTTAAATTTGTCAGTCTGCCAACTAGGTATTTGTCTGCTGTCGGAGTTTCTTTGTAAATTGCACCATTAATAATGAGTGGAATCACTGTGTTGTTTCTTGTCTGCTGCGCTCTCTTCTGCAGACACCCTGACCCCGGCCTCCAGTCCGTTGTCTGGGGTTTGCGGACATGCACCAGGCCCAGAGGAGGGCCTGAACTTGGAGTGCCGGGTGTGCTCGGACAAAGCTTCAGGCTTCCACTACGGGGTGCACGCATGTGAGGGCTGCAAGGTGAGAGATGTGGAGCTAAAGCTTGGCCAGAGCCAGCTGGAGTATGTATTGAATGCATGCACGGACATACTGTACATTTCTAAGTGAGAAACGCCATAAACGTCACATTAAGATATAAATATAAACGTAATTCATGATCACAAGGCAAACGTTAGTTCTACCAATCCTACATGTTACTGTGTAGCTGTATCAGGGTTGAAAAACATTAAACGAGCTGACACACTCATGCTCACATGCACATAGTACATGCACGCCTGCACACTGACACACATACAGAGCAGGGCCGTCTGACCCAGAGGCCAGTGGAAAGATTCTGAGACACGCTGCCAGGTCATGTGAGGTGGTGGACATGAAGGCATTGGTTGACTTGTCACCTCTGCCCTGGTTGGCACTGAGCCCGACCGAGTGATAATAATACACACACACAGAGAGAGAGAGAGAG